AGGGAAGTTTGGCCCAGAGGTAGTTTAGTTTACAAAATGAATGATCATTTGGCGACAGGTGTCGGTTGATTGATAGTTGAAACTTGATTATTCTTGATTATAGCTACTTGATTATTCACACATTTTTTTTAGATGTCAATATGAAATATGATCATCGCGCTTTTGAGGAACGTTTATTTGTTCATCTCTCAATCATCCTTGTATTGCATTGCATTATATGTTTTGAATCTGCAGCGCTTTGATTATGAACTAAGCATGTTTCTTTTTGGGAGATATAGAGCAAAAAACATTTTTTAGTTTCTTCTTTTTTATCTAAATGTTCAATAAACTGTATTTTTGGACTACTATGTCAGGCTTTACAGGGTTAAAACATATTTCGAACACATCTTAAAGTTACTTAATGTAATTTGGAAAAATTCGCAGAGGAATATTGGGAAAGTTGAATGGAGTCTCCTCTCCTCTTGCGCCCTCTTTAGACCAAAGGCAGAAGTGCACAAATGTATATTTACATTTATTCATTTTGCAAGCGCTTTTATCCAAATCGACAGGGATCTGCCAAAAAATTATACAAATTATAAAATTAAAGACATAAATAAACTCAGTTCATTGTGTCAAATGGACAATTAGATTGTTAACAGTGTTTGCAAAGGCTATTGCTCATAACTAATAAAGTTAAGTATTTAGTATAATAAAGGATTAGCTACACTTTGGTGTGTAGGGTGGGCTCTTTTGACTTGGGCCAGTAAGCAATCCCCTAGTAACCATCCAGAACACCCTAGCAACCACCTACAATACCTTATCGACCATTTAGCAACATTCAGAATTTTGCACAGGCAAGCAGACCTCACATTTTCTTTAGAAAATGTAAAAGAATAAATACTGTAAATGTCTAATTTTATGCCCTAATCTATTCTCCAAATAATGTCTTATGTATTCATTTTAATGAGAATCACACAGAAAACACATGCCCAGTCATGGACTGAGAAGACTCCACCCATTTGATCTTTGTTAGGATGTCATTAAAAAAATGGATCAGACACATAATGGAGGCCATCAGTTGTGATTACTGGGTGTGGCATGCAGGTAACACGAGCACGGGGAGGAAACCGCACCTACTGCTACTTCTAAATTATTGAATGTTGTCGTCCAATAAGCAAAAAAAATGCTACATTTAACGTGGTATGAAATATTAAACCATACATAGGTGAAAGGCTTAATTCAAAGAACATAAACTGGATGTCAGCCAATAATTGTTTAAACTCACATATGTTTTTTCCACAAAAATTAGTTTGCTATATTATTGAAATATTACATAATATATTTTCATTTTGGAACGTCTCCTTTTGGAACCTTTATTTCTAAGGGTGTAATGTAAGTAAATACAAGACTATGGTAATATACACATGATATTATAGGTCAGGCTTAAAATGCAATAACAAATTTTGCATTCACAATTTGTAACAAGGGTCCCTGCTCTGTCTATTTTCATCAACGGGTCCTTGGCCTTAAAACAAGATAACCCTGCCTGAAGAGGAAACCTCAACCGCAGCAGCAAAGACTTTCCACCAGATGTCAGCAAACATCCAAAGAAATTTGCAGAAAAAGCCAATGACCTCATTTAAAGGCACAATATGTAAGATTTTTTTATTAAAATATCCAAAAACCACTAGAACAGTGTTATATATTTTGCTGACTTGTGTACTTACATTATCCCAAATGTTTCGAAGAATGTTTAAATCCAGAGAAATAAGCAATTTTAACTAGTGACACGGACCGTGTCCATAGTGTCATTG